GTAAATGGGGTGACAGTGGATATATGCGCATCAAAAGGGATGTTCATGAGAAAGAAGGCCTTTGTGGTCTTGCTATGGACGCTTCTTATCCCACTGCCTAAAAGGAAATTAATTATCATTAGCTTTTTTCACTACTTTTCAACCATGTTTATATATGTGAATATTGTGTTGTGGGTTTGAGGTAGACTTGGATTAGACTGTCCATATATAGTTAAAGCATGCACTTAAAAAGGTGCCAGCTTCTAAATTGTAATTTTATGCTCATCATGTGAATTATAATGGTATTGTCTAAGTTTGATTTGACTAGTCAGCGCCTTTTCCCTGGAGCAAACAATATGTGTATATGAATTAATGTTCCAATAAGAGTACTTGTCGTTTTGGATTCTTATGACTGCTTGATTGTTATTTAAGTACATGTGTCACAAGTATATAAGGCCCATTTCGATTAAAAAAATTAATTTAAAAAATATATGTGTATAAGGCCCATAAAATTTTGTAAGTTTTTTAAAAAAAATTCGAAAATGAGTTTTTTTCAAGATTCAAAATTTTCAGAATTTTTTTTTTCTCCACTCACAAAATTACAATATTTTTTTAAAATGAAATGCATGTCCAAACATAATTTTAAATTTCAAATACTATTTTTTAACTTAAAACCAAATAATACTTTTTTTCTTCAAAAATTACAACTTTTATATCCAAACGCTTACTAAATACGTTACTTCAGCTTGAGCCTTCTGTTGAATATGATTGTTGATCTTTTTTAACCTTCCTATATAATATTTGAAACTTTATTACCCTCCTTAATCAAATTTTAACTTAATTATATGGCCATATACAATTTACCAATTATATACAAATTAGTTTTAAATTAGTATCTCTTTATATTAGGAATTGAATAAGGAATCAATTATTTTTCATCCTTGTTCTCTATCCCTCCCCNTTTGAATTCGAATTTGGGTTTTTAAAAATCGTTATTTGTTTGGGTTGGGTGTTGTTGCAAATAATTAGAAATATTGTTTGGAGTTTATATCTCAATTTTGAGGGAGTTTGGTGAAGATTAGACTTGATTTTGGCTGAATTTCAGATTGAAACTCGAAGAAGAACACATGACATACAATATACTTACGAAATTGTAGTATAAATGTATGTAAATTGTATTCTATTGCAGTTTTGAATATTGTATGAAAGTTGAAAAATAGTTGTATAATGTATGAATCATTGTATGAAATTTGTATTTAAGTTAAAATACTATCTTTTTACATAAAGTTGTTGAAATGTATCCAAATTATATTAAGAGAGAAATTTTTGATTGAAATTTCAGAGAGGAAGAAGCACACCACTTACAAAATATATGCAAAAAACATACAAAAGATATATTGTATAACAATTATATTTAAGTTGTATAATATTGTAGTTATATTTAACTGTATAAAAATAATGTATGAACGTTGTAGATAAGTTGTAAATAGTTGTATGCTATATAATTTGTTGTATGAAATTTTATTTTTACTATGTATGTTATTGTAGATATTCAAATTTGCATTAAATTTGTATCAACTTTGTTTTTAATCTGTATGTGATGTACCATACATTATTCTTTTCTCAATTGATTTATTAAGAAATAAAGGTAGAGAATGAATTCCAAATTGACTCATGGGAACTAATTCATATTTGTTTGAATTGAAAAATTTGAATATTGATAGGAACTAAATGATTTGATGGAGAAATTTCGAGTTTATATTAAAAGCGCCATTATCGTACTTCAGAGAAACTGAGTTTACCATAAGTCCAAAAAGACAATATTCCCATAAAGGCCTTGTTTGGTTATTGAGCAACCTCTGAAGTCTACATACAAATCATCAAAAAATTCAAAGCTTATAGGGTGCTCAATGAGAAACTGCACGTGTTTGTTCTCCATCTTTTGGGAGTGGATGGCCATGTAATTAAGTTAAAACTTGATTATGGAGGGTAATAAAATTTCAAATATTGTATAGGAAAATAAAAATTCCTTATTTAAACCATCCACTCCCAAAAGAAATAAGAAGAAAATCATCAGAAATTGCTGTGTTATGCGAGAACCAAATGATCAGATTCAAGAGAAGTAGAATGAGATCTCTAATTTCATCATGTTATTATGGTGTATCTGTATTGTTCAATGCACTAATCCGACACCCTTCCACCCCCTCCCCAAAACTAAAAGAAAATTGACCCAACATTTAATCCATTTTTCTCATTCAATTGGGATTCAACAGAAAATTAAAAGAAAGACCGAAACGGTTCTCCACTGCGAGCGCCAATGTGCAACACTGGGAAGGGATGTAACTGGATGGAGTGTTATTAAAATAGGAGTGGTGAGAAAAAAGAAAAAGGATGTAACTAAATCCCCTAATTTAAGGCACTAATAATGGATTATATATAATTTGTAATTAATCCGGGACAATTTTGATAAATAAGTTTTAATAGGAAGGAAAAAATCCCAGCAGAAAATGCACCAAAGGCTCATAGTAGCGTCATGCTATTTTTGGGCTTTTCTGTACTGAACTTGATACTTGAATTTGATGGGCTGGGCTGAGTCTATTTGGGCTAATGATTAAAAAGATGAGAAATTTAACCTGGATAGTGCACTGATCTCAGGATCTGTCATTTATAATAAAGTTATCACAGTGTATTTGATGAAAGGAAATTCCAAGTATAGAACAGATTTGTTTAGGCTGGAAGTTTGGGTAATGTGGAATTAGACAAGTCATCATTTAAGATATATACTTCTAGTACTAACTGAAATGGAAGTAGACCTACATCCGCAAGTGGAGAACCATTTCCATTATATCTGAAATATATAAAGTGTACATAAAACTAGTGATAATTAATGTTATAATTAACTCGAAAATAATCCAAGTATTCTAAAGCCAGCCTAGGTCTGGCTTAAGCTGGCCTCACCTGGATAAAGCCTGGTTAGGCCTGGCTTTAAGCTGGCCTCACCTGGATAAAGCCTGGTTGAGCTGACTTTTGCCCGGCTTCTCTTTTTCACTGTTCTCGAGCGCTCTTTTGACATTTGAGCATCTTTTTAGCTCTACTTTCATTTTCGATGCGCCTACACATATAATAGCCTCCATTATGCTCAAATAAAGTGTATTTTAATATTAAAGCATGTAAAACGCGAAGCATATAATGTGCAAAACCATGAATTATAGCCACACATCAATACCCCACACTTAAACATTTGCTTGTCCTCGAGCAATCACATTACACTTATGAACACAACCTATTAAGCAATTCCCTTAACTTATTATGCCAAGAATCTTTAAAATAGTTTAAGCACAAAGGTGTGACATCATCGCCTCAATAATCGACTCACAAATACCATGCTTTATTCACAATTCACTTACTTACTCTAACATGGAGGTCAACAACATTACCTTTCCCTTATGAATCATGTGCCCTCACCCAATCAAAGAGCTTAGTTCCACACTCCATGACTTTTAATAAAATAGGAACTTAAGATATGAAAAATTCACTCGCTCTCAGAAATAACATTCATATGCTCCAAATGACGTACCATAAGCTTGCCCTTAGTGTAATACTTCACTAATCGAGTTAATTCAGTCTAAGGTCAACTAAGATTTTCATTGGTTGTAATGTAGGCTGCGGGTCGGGTAGGATACATTTGGATATGAGTGACTATACCTCCCTTAAGTACTTTAATTAACATAATTCAACCTTCAATTCCATACTTATGTCAACCCAAGATTTCACCTTACTTCACTATATTTCACCCCCTACTTCTTTAAGCACCAATACATCAATGCCACCACCATAAGGATTTATGTATTTTTTTTCTTTCTTCATACACTACTATATATATATATATNCTAAAATCGGGGAGACCGATTTTATAATCAACAAGGCATTGGGCAATCTCATCTCGAAGGTCCTCGGGGATGGCCCGAAATTCGATGCCCTCAGAAGATCTTCGCGCCCGATATAGGGGCAGAATGGACCAGTGTTTATTGCCGATAAGCGGAAAGTTCCCTAGGAGCTGTATCTTCTGACAAACGCCTGCACAAACAGTGACAGTCTGCACCAGGCTGATTGAGCGGTTGTACCAGCTACTTTATGTAATAATTACACATGTGTTTGTACTATGTTGGGTTTCCCCTTCATATATATAGGGGACTCTTGTCACTTAGAAAGGATCTGTTGCTCAATATTGAATACACAAGAACATTCTCTCTGCTTTCTAACATATTCTCTTGATCTCATTACTTGCATTTATTACTTATATTCATCACGTTCCATTTGTTGTTCTTCATTTATTACTTATTATTGGCCATAAAGAGCCATCATTGATATTATCATAACTGTTAATCCACCCTCGATAGCTCCCAACCGATCATCAGACTCGACCCCTAGGCCCCGAATAAGCAAGCTCGAGGCCCCGATTGTTAACCATTCGGTTTGATTATCACCTTGTTCTCAAGATCCTATCTCATTTCTAAGTCTTTCACATAGCATCAATTGCCTAACAACTAGCATAAAAATAGATCACGTATTTTTAGAACCACAAATCAAATTTAATTGTAATTACCATTTTTGAGGTAAATAGTTTGGCGCCCACTGTGGGGATAAATAGTGATTATTTTCTTGCTGGTTTTACTACATAACGCAAGTTTCCTTTCACACCTTTTCTTGTCCAAGATCTTTGATGTCAGTTCAAAATGTCTAACTCAGTAAATATACGTGAAAACAACAACCTTGAATACCATGGAGAGAATGGTGTGGATGTCCTAGGTATTGGTGTACCACCACGAAACCCTAAGAATTCACCATAACCAATTCCCGTGTACGTGGTCTCACGCAACTATCAATGCATTGGCGTAAGTTCTCACGTCGACAGGAGTATACACCGAGAAAGTCAACCGGACGTTCGGAAGAGCATTGTCGGGGGAGAAAGAGGAGTGAACAGGGGAAGCGAAGTAGGAAAACCTCGGCACATCGTTCATATGTTTATCGGAGGGACCGATGTTCCCCAGGGGTCCGAGATCAAACGGATAAAGGTTTCTGCGGCGATGCAAGGGCAAGTCCGGGGCCGGGCATCTGAGGACATCCTCGCGTTCAGTGAAGAAGATTTCGAGACTCTGTCTCATCCACACAACAAAGCGCTGGTAATCTCGTTTCTCTTAAATAACATCCAAATTAAAGGTGTACTCGTGGATCTAGGTAGCTCGGCCAACGTAATTAGATCGACGGTGGTAGAACAGCTCGGACTGCTCGATCAGGTCATACCTACATCCCGAATTCTCAATGGTTTCAATATGGCCGACGAGGCAACAGAAGGAGAGATTACCCTCCATGTTAACATATCCGATGCAGTTAAAGATACCAGGTTCCACATTATTAAAGGTGATATAAAGTACAATGCCTTGCTCGGTAGACCGTGGATACATAACATGAATGCGGTACCATCAACCCTACATCAGATGATGAAGTTTCTGACAAAGGATGGAATAAAGATGGTGTATGGAGAGCAACACGTGGCGAAGTAAATGTTCGCGGTCCTTGAAGAAGTACCGAATTCTGTGCACTCCACCTCGGAAGAGTTGGAAAACCGACCAACCCCCGAGGATGATGAAGAAGACTTCCTCACTCCCAGAACTTTCATTGCCCCCGAAGAATCGTATGCAACAAAGTCGACTATTGAAGAGCTGTAGCAAGCCGTATTAGTCGAGCATCTCCTAGATCGGAACGTATACGTGGGAACGGGATTAACCCCCGAACTTAGGAAAAAACTCATCCAATTCCTTATTAACAACATCGATTGCTTTGCTTAGTCCCATTTAGACATGACAGGGATCCCACCGGAGATAGCCACCCATCGACTAAGCGTCGACCCCAGATACAAACTGGTGAAGCAAAAAAGGAGACCCCAATCCGAGGTAAAGCATGCATTCATCAAAGACGAGGTAACAAAGCTCCTCAAAATAGGGTCTATTAGGGACGTAAAATATCCCGAATGGCTGGCCAAAGTGGTGGTAGTTCCCAAAAGGGGGAATAAACTAAGAATGTGCGTAGATTGTAAAGATCTAAATAGGGCATGCCCCAAGGACTCATTCCTGCTTCCCAACATCGACCGATTAATCGATGATATGGCCGGCCACGAAACCCTTACTTTCCTTGATACCTATTCGGGGTATAATCAAATTCAGATAAACCCCGAGGATAGAGAAAAGACTTCGTTTATCACAAAATACAGAATGTATTGTTACAATGTAATGCCCTTCGAGCTAAAAAATGCAGGGGCCATATATCAGCGCCTAGTTAATAAGATGTTCGAACATCAAATAAGCAAGTCCATGAAAGTTTAGATTGACGATATGCTAGATAAGTCCCTGTGTGTAGAAAACCATTTGACTCATTTTCAGGAAACATTCGACATCCTCAGAAGTTACAACATGAAACTCAATCCCGAGAAGTGCGCCTTTAGGGTAGGATCAGGCAAATTCTTGGGTTTTATGGTATCGAATAGAGGAATTGAGATCAACCCCGATAAAATCAAATCCATCTAAGAAATCACAGTGGTAAATAATATAAAGGTGGTACATCAATTGACCCGACGGATAGCAGCCTTGGGCCGGTTTATATCAAGATCATCAGACAAAAGTCATCATTTCTTCTCTTTGCTCAAAAAGAAAAATAGCTTTGAATGGACCCCAGAGTGCCAACGCTCCTTGGAAGAATGAAGCGATACCTGACGAGCCCGCCTTTCTCCACACCCCAAAAGAGGATGAGACATTGTATTTGTACCTGGCCGTATCCGAGGTAGTGGTAAGTCGCGTTCTGGTCTGAGAAGAACAAGGTATGCAATTCCCTATTTATTATGTAAGTTGGACCCTAGGTGAGGCCGAAACCAGGTATCCGCATCTGGAAAAACTAGCTCTTGCATTAATAAGTGCAACTCAAAAGTTGAAACCTTACTTTCAATGTCATCATATTTGCATTTTAACAACATATCCCTTTTGAAGCATATTGCATAGACCCGAATTGTCGGGCTGGCTGGCCAAATGGGCCATCGAACTTGGGGGGTACGATATCGAGTATCAGCCTCGAACGTCTATAATGTCTCAAATTTTGGTAGACTTCACAGCCGACTTCACTCCCTCTCTCGTACCCGAAGTCGAGAAAGAAATTTTGCTAAAAATAGGCACATCCTTCGGGATATGGACCCTGTTCATTGACGACGCCTCAAACGTAAGAGGGTCCGAGCTCGACACTCGACATAGTCCTAAAGCCACCTACGAGCGGTGTGATTAGACAATCTATAAAAACTATAAGGTTAACTAATAATGAAGCTGAGTACGAGGCTATGATTGCAGGTTTGGAATTGGCCAAAGGCCTCGGTGCTGAGGTCATCGAAGAGAAATACGATTCCCTCCTAGTGGTAAATTAGGTAAATGGGAGCTACGAAGTTTGGGAAGACAAGATGCAAAGATACTTAGACAACATTCAAATCACATTGCACCACTTCAAAGAATGGACCCTGGTCCATGATCGCAGCCTACTCAAAACTACTAAAAAGTAGGAAGACCGGGTCGCAATAGCTTTTACCCGATTTGTGGGTCGGGATCGATTTCCACAGAGAGCTAGGAATGGAGTCGAGTATCTATTTAGGTTGGAATTGTGTATTTGTTCCAAATATCACTTCTAATCATTTTTGGGTTTTCTTTATATTCTACTATTATCAAACTACAAATTATAATTGCTACTAGATTAACTACGAGTAAATTGGCACAAGTTGTATCTAATAGCTTAAAAGGCACTAGGGTAGTGTCATCTTCCTAGGTGGCCAATTGACGGGTAATTAAACCTAAGGCACGATTGACAAGATTGGGGAATATGCTACAACTATTGCACAATTTTACCCACTCTCACACCTCTCGGTAGAGAGAGTGATTTTGCCCAATTGACTTTCTCAAGACCAATAGGGTAGGCAAATTTTCTCAAGCAACTGGGGTTCAAGTCGAGTATTACTCTCTCGAGGTTTAACACTTTAATTGGGACTATCAATTCTCTTGAGTCCATCCCAATTCCTTGTTGGGTCAATTTTGGAGACTTAGGCTCTCTTTCTCAAGAAGAACCCAAGTCAACTTAGCACAAACTAGTTTTGCAACCACTAATTCATAGATTAAACCATGAAATTGACCCAAATAACAAGCACCCATAGTCAATATAACCTTAAATCACAACACCCATCAATTATCTACACTAGGGTTGAGCCACAACCCTAGCTAATGGGTCTAGCCACTCATGATTGAAGAGAGAAATAGAGAAATAGATGAAGATAAAGACATATTAATTTATTGCTAAGGTAAATACAAAGATTCAAAGATAAAAACTAAGTAAAAATACCCAAAATGGCTAAGAAAAATCTTGTCACGAGCGCAACTAACGTCTGATAATATCTGATGCCCTAAAAATGGAAAAAGGTTCTATTTATACTAAACTAAAATAAATGGACAAAATTGCCCCTGCGAGGTTAGTGCGAACCGCACAAAATGGTGTGCGGACCGCACAAAATGGTGTGCGGCCGCACAAAATGGTGTGCGGCCGCACTAGGCTCTTGAACTTGAAATCTTGACTCTCTGAACCCAGACTCCATGGACCGTAGAAAATGGACTGCGGCCGCGGAGGCTTCTAGCGCGGTCCGTACAAACTCGACCGCAGACCGCACGGGCTTGAACCTCTAAACTTGGCATCTCTCTGAACCTTGTCTCTGCGGACCGTACAGAATGTGAGTGCAACCGCAGAGGTCCACCGCGGACCGCACAAAGTGTAGCACGACTGCATTGCTTCGGAGCCTAAAATGCTGAGTCTCTGAACCTCTCTAGAGCGGACCGCACAAAGTGTAGTGTGGCCGCACTAGGCCTGTTTTTCCTAAGTTTGTCTTTTCTTTGGTACTTGTGCAAGTTTCACTCCTTTTGAGCTGATATTTGACATCTTGTCACTTTGTTGATCAAACCTGCAATCAAGCACAACTTTGAGCCTTTTGGGACTATTTGTATGAATTTATAATCAAAGCGCTAGCAAGAAGGAGCATAAAATGCGTCAAAATCCCTAGTTATCAACTCCCCCAAACTTAAGCTTTTGCTTGTCCTCAAGTAAACAAAATAAGACCCACCCCTTAAGGGAAAATCCAAGAAATTTTCTGCTGTCCTAAAACAACCTCAACTAGCATCAATTGAGACTAACAATTTCCCTCAATACAAATGAATCATTAACAACATTTATCCTTTGAAAAACCATGGATCAAGTGCGACACAAGAGCATCAAGAGTTGACTCAACACATCAAAGAACTCTCTCAATTATTTTGGTCATTGTGGAACCCAAACTCACACATCCTCAACTCTCCCTAAGCAAACCTCATCTTTTTAGAATATTGGCACATAAACCGAGGTTAATAGAAATTCGTTCATCTCTCTCAAGAAAAAGTCACAAGTCTGGCTCTAAGTACCATATGCTTGCCCCTTATGTGAGTATCCACTATGTAAGCTTCATTCAACTCAAGAACATATAGGGGTTTTGTGGAGTCATTGTGAAGGCTTTTGGTTAAGGGTAGGAAATGTTTTGGTCTAAGTGGGTTCCATCTTCCCTTAAGCACTTCTTTTGATTCGTTTGACAAACATTATCTTGACTCTTTGAGTCATTTAACTTCTTTTCTAAGGGGTTAGAGAGACACATTGTCACTCTTTCTTATGCTTTTCAAACCTTTTCTCCTTTTTCAACTTTTCCACACCTTTCATTCTTTGCTTTTCTTGAATCCCTCTTTATTCCTTTTCACATTGATCATTCTTTTTTTCTTTTGCTTTTCTTCTTTTTCATTGCCTTTTATTTTCTTTAGTTTTTTGTGTGTCTTTTTACCACTTTGTTGCCATCCTCTTCTCTCCCCCTAAGCTTATGCTTTTGCCATGTGCTAAAGGAAAGATCAGGTGCCAAGAGAGGGTATCTTTTAGAACGGGTGTAGGCTTGTATCATGGTTCTTGAAATATGAAAGTCTAAGGCTCAAAAGGGTTAAATAGGGATCATATCATTGGTAGGCTATGAATTTGTTCAAACTATCATTTGGATCAAGGAGAGCCTATAATCATGCCTCAAGTCAAAATTCACTTATGATTTCGCCTCAACAAACATTCAGGGCAAGTTCTAGACCAATGGCTCGGGACTTGGACTTGCAATTTAATTACTCACCACACAATCTAAGGGATTGCTAAAGACATAGAGTTTGGGGCCCACAACGACCTTAGATACGATTTGAGCACACAATGGTCCGAAAAAAACCACTTGATGATTATTGGTCAACATAAGAGTCTCAAGGTCACGACTTTCACCATCCTAAACACAACAACTTGTTTTTGATCATGAGATCAAAGGAAAATATGTTAAGCCCAAGTGAAGCTTTGCTTGATGTATCCTTAACTACAAACTTCTAAAACAAAAAAGAAAACGGACTCAAACCCTTAAGAAGGTTATCACGCCATCCATCATTGGGAA